TTTCTCTTGCGCAGGAGGAAATCCCATAATGCACTCTGACACGCTCTTTGGAAAAATCCCTTTAATCTCCACCTTATAGGTGGTAAACAGGGCAGATCACTAGGTTTCAGACACAGTTGATAAGTCTGGCAAGTTTTGGCAGAAGTGTTTAATTTGCATGAGCATATTTGAATATTCATGATGATTCAGTATTGCACAAGAAACTAAACAGGAGCTTCTTACTTTCTTCACGTAGCCTTGGATGTGCTCTGTGCTGGGAATCTGTTCGGCAGACATGCATTCCTCCAGTTTGAGATGGTACGGCTCAAAGTCTGCCGGATTCTTCTCCCAGCTGAAGAAAGAAAGAGGGGAACACCAGAAATAATGTCAAACATATGAGTCTTAAACAGGTGCAGAGCGGAGATATATATCACCGGCAAACTTGAAAAGTTCATTCTGGCGACCCGATTACACGGCAAGAAAAGAAAACGTTAGTGAGACGGAGAACATCTGTTCCTGAGGTTTATTATTGGAAACATTTTTGCAGTGCATTGGCAAGAAATGAGTGTTAAAAAGACACATTTTCTCTAAATGAGCAGCTGTAATACTCAAGTGCTGCTCTCTCCTTCTCTGAGGTGATTTCCTTGGGCATTGTTAAAGGTGAAGTGCGTCGTTTATTCAGTGTTAATATGCTTTCGATCGCAGTTTAATACCGAGAGACAACTGTAAGTGAGATGTTTGGTGGTTTAGTTTCGAGAAAGGACTGTTTTGACTCAGTGTTGTTTCAGTGCCAGAAGTATATATCTTCCATTCGCTTTCCCCATTTGGGATTGGGAAGTGTTTTTTTGTAACATTGTAAGCCATGAACCAAACAAAACAACAAGCAACAAGCTGTAACCAGGTCTTAAAAAGTCTTGACAAAAATGTCTTAAAGAGCACATATGATAAAAATGATCTTTTGTAAGCTGTTTTGTACAGAACTGTGTGTAGGTATAGTACAGTGATATACTAATCATGTTGGAAATATGTTAGAAACATACTAGAAACACAATAGTACTATGCCAATCATGCTAGCAACATACTAGTGACATACTAATCATGCTAAAAACATGTTAACATTAACAACATGACAATCATACTAGAAACACAATAGTACCATTCTAATCATGCTACCAATGTCCTAGTGACATACTAATCATGCTGAAAACATGTAGCAACATGATAATCACGCAAGGAACATGATATTACTATGCTAATCAGGCTAGCAATGTACCAGTGACATACTTATCATGCTAGAAACATGTTAGCAACATGGCAATCATACCAAAAACATACTATTCATGCTAGTAACATACTAGTGACATGCTAATCATGCTGAAAACATGTTAGCAACATGATAGTCATACTAGAAAAACGATATTACCAAGATAATCATGCTAGCAATTTACCAGTGACACTAACCATGCTAAAAACATGTTAGCAACATGACAATCATACTAGAAACATGTTAATCATGCTAGTAACATACTAGCGACATACTAATCATGCTGAAAACATGTTAACAACCAGATAATCATACTAGAAACGCAATAGTACTACGCTAATCATGCTAGCAATGTACCAGTGACATACTAATCATGCTAGAAACATGTTAGCAACATGGCAATCACACTAAAAACATACTATTCATGCTAGTAACATACTAGTGACATGCTAATCATGCTGAAATCATGTTAGCAACATGATAGTCATACTAGAAAAACGATATTATTAAGCTAATCATGCTAGCTATTTACCAGTGACACTAACCAGTTAACCTGTTAACAACCAGATAATCATACTAGAAACGCAATAGTACTACGCTAATCATGCTAGCAATGTACCAGTGACATACTAATCATGATAGAAACATGGTAGCAACATGGCAATCATACTGGATACATGCTAATCATGGTAGCAACATACTTGTGACATACTAATCATGCTGGAAACATGTTAGCAACATGACCTTCATACTTGAAACATGATAGCAGCATGCAAATCATGCTAACAATTTACTAGTGACATACTAATCATGCTGAAAACATGTTAGCAACATGATAATCACGCTAGAAACACGATAGTACCATGCTAATCATGCTAACAATGTACTAGTGACAAACTAATCATGCTGGAAACATGTTAATAACATGCTGATTATGCTAGCAACATGCTAGTAATGCCTTTTTAAAGCTTTTTAAGTTTAAAAGGATAGTTCTTCCAAAAATCTGACACACTCAGATTGCCATTTTCGTTTGCTTGTATGCGTTTTTTACTCTCAAAGTATTCATTGACATTATTATAAACAATCTGAATCATTATTATAAGAAACAATCATTATTATAAGAAACCTGACTCGTTCCCGCTCCATTCTATGACATCAGTTTGTGGGCGTGTCTGTCACTGTGTAATTATGAATAATCGTAACTCGAAGCGGTTTTGTTTGCCTCCAAAGGAAACCCGCAGAGCTCCCCGTGTGTCCGGGTCTCCTGCTGATCTCAGGGACGCCCGTTCCTGCGTCTTCTGTGTGCGCGTGTGACATTTGGGACAGAGATTAAACCCACTAACCCAGAGCTCCATCCAACCACACAGTCACAGCGCAGCAGGGCCCTGACTCACCTCTGTCACACACACACATGAATTCACACTTCCCGCCAACACACGGCCATCTGCTGCCTGAACACATTCTCCTCATCTCGCTCCTGCAGCACGCACGCCTGTATCCTGAGTTTAACATACACACATCCGAACAGCAGAACCAAAGGTTTGTCTATTAAACACTCTCATTTACAATCATACAAAAAGACAAACTTGATTTTTGGGTAATCAATCCTGTTTCAGAGTTTTGTAATGTAAATATTCATTCATTTTCATCCGGCTTAGTCTTTGATTATCAGGGGTGGCCTATGAATATGGCTACGGTGTAAATGCACAGCACAGCTACAATCTTATTGCCACATTATATCATTATGATGATATGATATTGTTGCCTTCCCTGCTGAAAAATCCACCTTAAACCAGCCAACCAGCCTAGGCTGGTTTAAGCTGGATTGTTCAGCAGGGTTTTGTGATTTCCTGAAGATAAATACCAATAAAAAATAATGCAACTGGAATAACTACAGCAGTCAGCATCATCGATCTCATGAATTAAGAGCTTGTGATGACACATGATGATGAGAGCAGGTGTTGTAGTCATGTCCCACTTCTTAGCTGTAAATTTTGAAGGCCTTCCTCTTCGCACTTGGTTTCAAGTGCCAAGGGGAAGGGATAGGGCTGAAAAAATAGAATTAGGATTGGGCCTTCCCAGCAGGCACACAACATCATAAGATGTTAATATTAGGTTAGATTTAGTTCGTTATATCAGGTGACCAAAATTTAATGTCTAGTCAGCATCTAAGGACATCGTTATTTTGACGAGCAATAACAACGTCAACTTACGTGGACATCTGGTTGATTTTAGGTTGTGTTGGAAAGTGACCAAAATCCAACGTCTGATAGATGTCCTAGTGGTAACGTCCACACAATGTAAAGGTGTAACATGATTAGACAATGAGTTTTGGTTGATTTTAGGTTGGATGTTGACGTCAGCCTGACGTTGGGTTCTGACGTCAACCCGATTTTCATTTCCAAACAAATTCCAACGTCCCCACAACGTTGGAGTACGTTAGGGTACAACATCATGGTTTCCGTTACATTCATTCGTCCGTGATGGGGCACCACACCAAAACTTCCCCCGCCACGACTACATTACAGCTTCTCATTCCAAACATTCGGTCATTTTTTTTAATAGCAGGTGATAATCGCAACAAAAACTTATTAAAAGATAAGTGGATTATAAAACATATATGTTTAACCCTTTAAGGTGACGTGCGGACTAACTGACAGACAGATGCAAACACGACGTGGCTTTCAGTTATGACTAGGGCCACATGGAATCTGTGCGCGCAGAATTCAGCAAATTTTATGCAGATATTCGGCAGAATTACGCAGATTTTTAGCCCATCATTAATTCTGTTTATTTACTTGTGTAAATGTGCGTAAATCTATATTTATTCAGATTTCAAATAATCACAGTAATTACATTTTAAACATTAAATAAAAGTTAAAAAGATATTATTTTTTATTTCATATATTAAGGTTTTAGTAATGATACTCCCAAAATAATTCCGCAGAAATGCGCAGAGTTTTAGCAAAATTCTCCACAGAAATATCAAAAAAACGTCCACAGGTTTCGTCTGGCCCTGCTTATGACGAACACAGTTTCCATAATAATATTTTATTTATAGATAAAGGTCTGGTTCTGCATACAATGACTTTATCTTGCTGGAGTTTATAGCCGTTTCACTTTACTTCAGGACGCATTAATGCCGCTCTGTAGGCCTATTGGAGACATTAAAAGATATTTCTAGCAAATCTAATAAATGTTAGAGACATACTTGTTACGTAAATGCACTAAATCACACTTCAGCAGCGTTTATTTGAGGGCGCGCAAGAAGTTTTGTGCACGAGAAGAGGAAATCGACGCTCGAGCACAGAGATTGACATGCTCGTAGGCTATTACATGAACGCGATCTCGACTTAATACTCCGCTCACGACATTTCTCAATGAATTATCGCCACATGTAGTTGATAAATCTGTGTAAAATGCCCAACAGAGCCTGCCACCACAGCTGGAAAAAATCATAGAGGAAACCTTGAATGTCAATATGACGTCATGTTGATATCCTGTGCCTGCAGGGTTATTACAACCTAACAGACTCATCCTCCTCAAAACTGACAGTTTGAGGGGCGTGGTTAGCTATGCTAGACACGCCCACAACCTCAGACGGACATAATCTGAGTATTTAACTGAAAACAATCAGGAAATACAAACTTTATATTACAAGGGTAAACTAATCTTTATTTTCTTAATGACATGCGCAGACGAATTGTTCACCACAAAACTAGCAATGTGAGCTAATCATAAATCATGGGCTGTTTCTCAATTCCAAGAAGGCAGAGAACGGACTTGTGTTTTTGTAGAGACTGGCATTTCCAGGTGTTCTCGGAAGAACAAACTCTGGAGACCGCGAGCACAGAGAATGCGTCCTGTGAGAAATGAGATGCTGCATTCTTCCTGATGGTCACATGACCTTCACGTGTTTTTAATGTAATTTTAAATAATTTTAAATAATTTAAACATGACAGCATTCATACTACGATTTATTGTTTTTCCCCATTTCAATATATATACTGTGCATAAAGACTTAAATACGTTGCACAATTTAAATGAAACAGATTTTAATACAAATTTCAGCAAACAAACAGCCCTAATGTGTT